TAGCAAGTAACTTCAGATTACTTTTATACACCCCTCTCTTGGATATGTTAAGCTTACCAACGACAAATGTGTGTGCACGAATGAATGAGCCATCCCCAAAGCAGAGCAGAAGTGCAGTCCTAACATATTTAAAAGCAACCCCAAATGACAATCCAGTATCTAACCACGTATAACAAGAATTATTTACATTCCTATAGCACTTTACAATTTTAACAACACGGTCACTGCCATTATACAATTTGGTCCTGATGGCAAACCTGGCAGCAGGTGGGGTGGGTGATACTATCCTTTCACATAAAGGGCTCAGAGATGTTAGAGGATTTGAACAAGGTCACATTAGAATAATGGACAATGTCACTAAGCCATTCAAGTCTTCAGCTCGGTTCAGCTCATTGTACTGTACCTTCCTCAGGTAGAATAAATTTTTTTTAAAAAAGACTGCTTTTGCCTCTTTAGGTAGAAGTCTCTCACACCATCTTTTATCCATTCACTCTTCCACCTCCCCATCTATTTGCACATCCATCACCTATCCATCTATCCACTGATGCATCCATCTACTCTTCCATCCATCCACCCACCCATTTATTGATCTATCCACCCAGCCATCCATCCATATACCTATTCTTTTGTTGCCCTCTACATGTGTATCTATATCTATCCATTTATCTCCCTATCAACCCACTGATTCATTCATCGATCCACCCACTCATCCGTCCATCCATTCACTCAACATTTGTGGTCCTTCTTTGTGCTTGTTACTATACAAATTGATGGAACTACTTACCAGTTTTTATTCATATAAAAAGCAAAGTTTTCAGTAACAGGGATAGCTATAAGGGTACTATCTGCATCAGTGTCTTCTCATTTACTGTAGGCTTTCCTTGATGATACCAAAACAAAACAGTGTGCTGTAATTCTTCCTGTCAAACACAATAAAGTACCTGGGAGGCTGGCAACAAAAGGACCAGGAAAAGGCCTAGGTAGTAAGAGTTCTTTCCTTTCTCAGTGCATTAGAAGTACAATCATTACGGTTATGTTGTTGGATCACTTGAGATGTAAAGGGCACACTTCCAATTACTTCACATGGGTAACAAGTTCAGATAATTAGAACTGTATCCCTAATAGGGTCTTGGAACTTTTTGGAAGAGCTAATTTAACCATCTAGGTGTTTTCTCAGGTTGCCGTTCAGAGTTAAGACTCACTTACCTTCATGATTGCACTCTGTTTTGGGCAGTGAACCAATATCAATGATGCACGTGCCCTAACATATTGAGACTCTGTAAAGTGACGTGTTTCAAAGGAGATAGGAATGAAACTTCAAAAATCAGAACAGATGAGAAAAAAATGTGGATCAAATATCAATGGGTAATCAAAGAAAAAAAACCAAACATGCAAAACATAATAAACCATTTGCAATTTCTTAACAAATATAATAAAACGTTAACTGTTGAAACATTTTTAAAATTTGCCCAAACAGGCTATAAATTTTATGAAGCTACTTTCACCAAGTTTCCACATCACCGATGACTTATCAATTAACACAGTAATGCTGTGGTGCTCAAACATTAGCATGCAACAGGATCACCTGGAAACCCGGTGAAAACACAGATTGCTGGGCCCTTCCCTCAGAGCTTCCAAATCACCATGTTTGGAGTGGATCTTAAGAATCTGCATTTGTAACAAGCTCCTGGTGCCACTGCTTGTCCTGGGACCCCACTTTGAGAAGCGCTGCAATAGATCATCTCCAGTCCTCATCTCCCTTAACTTCGCAGTTGTGTATGACACTAGGGATCACTCCTTAGACTTGTGAAGCCCAGCTTCTCTTGCTTTCCTTCCCATCTCCTCTCCTCTGTTCCTTCTTAGTCTCCTAGCGTTCCTTGGGATTTTATCCTGGGCTGCTGCCCTTTCACCGAAACCTGACTGAGCCATCTCATTCACTCTGAAGCCTTCTGTCACCACTTAAACCTGGTGGGTTCTCAGGCTGCAGCTCTCACCTGTGTTTCACAAGGGCAGGGTTTTCATCATCTTGTTTGTGACTGCCTCCCAAGTGACAGAACATGCCTGGCCTATGGAGCGTGCTCAGTCAGTGTGGGTTACAACTCCCCAGCAGATATGTCTACCTGAATGCATCACACACTAACTTGCAACTGAAACTAAGTACACACAGAAAGAAACATACCAGGGAAGGATATTATATACACAAGATTCTTCCCCCATCTTTCCAAGGGTACCATTATCCATCTATTTTGTAAGACCCAAGAAACCTAAGGGCTATCCTTGAATTCTCACCTGGCAAACATCAACTTGTGTTCATTTTACCCCGTAATTCTCTTTCATTTTCACTCATGTCTCCCCATTCCTGTTGCCACTGCCTAGTCCAGGTCACCACTGTCTCTCACCTGAATGCCCACCTGGCCACCCTCCTGTGCCTCCTGTAATCTCCCAACCCCACAGTCGCTGGCTGAGTCCTCAAGTCTCCTCCTGCCATGCCTACCACACAAGCCGGTTCTAGAACTCTCCTAGTTCTCAAAGCCAAGCCCCATCCCTCAGCAGGGCCTTCGTGTCATTCTGAAAGGGTCCCTTTGGCCTCTTCAGTATTATTTTCACTTTTCTCCCACAGCCCTATACTCCAATCATCTTCAACTTAGTTTTGTTCTTCAAACATTCAGTGCTCTCTTATTTCTGAGGCTGGAATTCAAGATGTTCCTTCCACCTAGTAGAGACTTTCATTTTCCCCCTACCACGTTTTAGCTGGATCACTTCTACTCAATTTCCCATTTTCAATTTAAAATTCACATCCTTCGAAAAGCCTTCCCTTTTTCCCACAAACAAAACAAAACTGGGTTAGACCCAGATTCTCATGGGTTCCCCTAACCCTTCGTATCTGCATGCACGGTATTGCCTCTGCTTGTTGAATTTTTTGCCTTATGTGCCAATAACACCATGACTCATATCTATATAGTCTCGTGTCTACATAGCACTGGGCTCAGCACTGGATTTGGTCATAAATGGGATAGGCCAATTTCATTTAAGGAATAGGCCAATTGCATTTAATGGAGTGAACTGTAAAAGAAATTACCTAGAAATTATTTTAAATGAAATTATTTTTCTATGTTGATAGAAGCCCAGTAGTGGCTCCATTGAGGGCATAGGGGCTCTGTTGAGAGGTACTGATGAGAAAGGTCATGAAGGGATCCCCTAGACCTATGGTAAATAGTCTGTAACTTATTGCTGGTAGAGGTTTCACCAGGGGATACATAAGCAAAAATTCATCAAGCTGTCCACTGAAGGGTAGTGCATTTTATGTATGTAAATCGTATCTCAATAAAAGCAAATGAATTGTTTTTAAATTAATATCGAATTAGTATGGGCTATAACAATTTGTATGGGCTAAAACAATGTATGTTGGAGGTAACATTAGAACTCAGTCTGAATGTTGGTACCCCCACAGATTCATAGGTTGAAACCTAATCCCCAATGCGACTGTATCAAGAGGTGGGACTTTAGGAGATTAGCTCCCAAATGCCCGCTGTCATGAATGGAATTAGTGCCCTTATAAAAGAGGCCCCAGGGAGCCTGTGTGCCCCATGTGCCATGTGAGAATACATAGAAGGCACCATGTATGAAGCAGAGAGCTGGCCTTCACCAGACACTGAAGCCACAGCACCTGGACCCTGGATTTGGCAGACTCTAGAACTGTGAGAAATACCTTTCTCTTGTTCGGACATCACCCAGTCTAAGGCATTTTGTGATAGCAGACTGCAAAGACTAAGACACTACTACTGGCCTGAAGCTTCCTCTAGATGCTAATTATTTCCCAAAGATCCAGAATTTAAAACATAGCAAAGTAAATTTTTAAGTCTTTGTTCTGAAAATGTCATTGTTTTAGACTTACTATGACTTACTTAAACTTCAGGTCCTCAGAATGATTTCAACGTCATTCTCCACAGAATTATATACCCTATTTTAAAACCCTACTTCACAAATTAGAGAGGTTTGAGTTAATGATGTATAATTATATTTTGACATTTGAGAAATCTTAAACTATGGTAATGACAGTTGCAGCTCAGCTGGGTTCACATTATTTTTAATATGATCACTTTCCTTCTTGAATTGTAAAAACAGGACACAGGGCAAAAAACACCAGGTGGAGGACTCCATAGCCCTATTAAAAAGGAGCCACGGTCAGGCGCGGTGGCTCACGCCTGTAATCCCAGCCCTTTGGGAGGCTGGGGCAAGTCACCTGAGGTCAGGAGTTCAACAAGATCATCCTGGCCAACACGTTAAAACCCCGTCTCTACTAAAAATACCAAAATTAGCTGGGCGTGGTGGTCCATGCAGGTTATCCCAGCTACTCAGGAGGCTGAGGCAGGAGAATCGCTGGAACCTGGGAGGCGGAGGTTGCGGTGA